TGTCTTTTTCATTTCTTCTACACGCTTTTAACCATTTTGATCGACGATTCTTATCTTCTAGCAATATGATAAATATTTTATCTGCACTTTCACTGTAGTATTCTTACACAACGGTACAATGCAATATTTAAAATAAGGAGTTTTTGTTTCCATTTTAAGTATACACTTAAAATTTATCTGAAATGAAGCGGTCGAGTGCTGGGATCTCCGTCGTCGCTTGTAAATTGTATGGTGTGATGTCACGACTACTTCCGCGCTTTTGAACCTGTTTGAAACGGTTCGCTCGCGCGCGAAACTTTAATAATTTATAACAAATTTATTATTGGGAATTAAGGCGTCATATTTTGCATATCTTATTTTTTAGTATTGTAGAACATTTTTATGAAGTAAAAAAAAAGTGCAAGTTCCCTATTCTGGACAAATCGATGTTTTACTAGGGCAGAAATATTTTTCAGCATACTTTTTGTCGGACAGATACAACTTGGTAAAGGTAACCCTGTCTTACAAAAATCTCATTTGGGTTGGATTATATCTCAACCAAGTCAAAGCTCAAAAAGCATTTCTCTTGAAGAAAATAATCAAAATCAATTGGAAAATAGAAGGATGTCCTACTAGTAGCAAATTTACGGAACGGAAGAACTGGAATGTGAAAAATGTTTCGTTGAAACTACAAAACGTTTAAAATCGGGACAATTCAAGGTCACATTACCAATTCGTAAAAATGTTACAGAGCTTGGAAATTCTAAACAAGGCGCTATAAAACGATTTTTATCGCTTGAAAGAAAAGAAAATTCACAATTAAGACATATGTATATCGAATTCATGAACGATTATACTCAATTAGGGCATATGTCTAAAATTAATATCGATGATATTAGCATTTCCGACAGTTCTATGTATTACTTACCACACCATGGTGTAATACGAGAAAATAGAATTACTACCAAACTTAGGGTTGTATTTGACGCGTCAACCAAAAACGGTTCAGATACATCTCTGAATGATATTTTGATGGTAGGTCCTACAATACAGGATGATCTCTTCTCTATAATATTACAATTCAAAAAACACGTTTATGTCGTTAGGGCAGACATAGACAAAATGGTAGAAGTCGCAATTTACAAAGAATCGTTTGGCGCACACATCCCGATTTAGCTCTAGATCATTATAAGTAAAACACATTCAGTTATGGCACAGCAGCAGCTGCGTTTTTGGCCAGTCGAAGCTTGCAACAAATAGCTTATGAAAATCGCGATAAATTTCCAAAGGCGTGTGAAATAATCTTAAAAGACTTTTACGTGGACGACTTGATCACGGGTTCGGACACAATAGAAGAAATAATCCAGCTAAAACATTAAATTGGTACTCTACTTCAAAGTGGGAGTTTTACACTACGCAAATGGCTTTCCAATGGAAAAAACATACTAAGTAACTGAGGACAGGCAAGAAAATATTTTCGTATATTACATTACGGATGACTCGTGTATAAAAATACTAGGACTTTTATGGAATTCGTCACTCGATAGCTTACAGTTTGCTATTAATATTAATTATTCTAATCAACGTGTAACCAAAAGAATAATTTTGTCAACAATATTGAAAATTTTCGATCCTCTTAGGTTATTGGGCCCTGTCATAATGAAGGTTAAAATCATGTTACAACAGTTATGGCAACTCAGACTCGATTGGGACGAATCGGTACCCAGTAATATATTCACGGAATGGACGCAATTTTGTAAACAAATAACGTCGATGTCTAGTATAAAAATACCAAGACAAATTTTTATAACGAATTGGACAGAAATCGAATTACATGGTTTTTGCGATTCTTCGACTATAACCTATGGTACGGTTATATACGTTATAAGCACCAATTCACTTGGTGAATGTGGCATTTGTTTATTATGCGCGGAATCTAGAGTAGCACCACTCAAAAGCTTTACTCTTCCCAGACTGGAACTCTATGGAGCTTTACTTTTATCACAATTATCAAGCAAAGTAGTAGAAGCATTAAACATGAATATAAGCAAAATATTTCATTGGACTGACTCCACAATAGTTCTTTCTTGGTTAAATTCTCAACCTACAAATTGGAAAACATTTGTAGCAAATCGAGTATCCGAAATTCAACGACTTACTTGTAATGTTGAGTGGCGTCATGTTAGTTCAAACGACATCCCGGCGGACATAATTTCCCGAGGAATTAATCCAGCGAGAATTATAAGTCTATCACAATGGTGGTTAGGTCCAACCTGGTTGAAAAAAAATTCAGAACTTTGGCATACGACATATCAATTACCCGAAAAAGAACTTTTGGAAATCAAAATAACTACTTTATCTTGTATAAATACTTTTCACGAAACACTCTTTTCTAAATATTTATCTCTAACTAAGTTACATCATGTAGTAACTTATTGCATGAGATTCAAGAAAAATTATGCGCAAATTTTTCAACCTTATGGGTAATTTAACAATAGATGAGTTAAATGACTATGATTATCCTCAGCAAATTAATTTAGTCAGAAGAATTTGAAAATGACATACAATCTTTGAAAAAATCAAATACCGTCACGCGAAGCAGCAAACTTATGTCATTAAATCCTTTCCTGGACGAAAAAGGTATAATTCGGGTAGGCGGAAGATTGTCAAAATCAAATATTGCCAGTGATCACAAATATCCTATGGTGCTACCTATCAAGCATCCATTTACAACATTATGGATAAACTATGAACATTGTAGAAATTTACATGTAGGCACACAAGTCACAATGGCTGCCATACGAAGCAAATTTTGGCCTTTAAAGTGTCGTTCTACAGTAAAACGAGTGTTGCGCGAATGCATTACTTGTTTTAAAGTCAAACCATTAAGTATAAATCAGCTAATGGGAAACTTACCGGAATGTCGTCTTCAACCTGAAAGACCATTCTTTAACTGCGGCGTGGACTATGCTGGGCCATTTTATATCAAAGATGGCAAAACTAGGAATCGTACCATCGTAAACTGTTACCTATGCATTTTCGTTTGTTTTACCACTAAAGAGGTACACCTTGAATTAGTCGGGGATATGGCATCCGATTCCTTTCTAAATGCTTTAAAAAGGTTCACGTCTTGACGAGGCATATGTAAAAATATTTGGTGAGACAATGGAACAAATTTTCATGGCGCAAACAATGAACTAAAAGAAATTAGCAAAATGTCAAATATTAAAAGCGAAAATAGAATTTCAAATTTTTTAAATCGAAATTACATTCAGTGGCATTTTATACCGACAAGATCACCACATTTTGGTGGCCTTTGGGAGGCGCAGTAAAATCTGCAAAATACCATTGCAAAAGAATTATTGGTAATACGAGTACTCATTTCACCTTCGAGGAACTAAGCACTGTATTCATGCAAATTGAAGCTGTTCTGAATTCAAGACCATTGACTCCTTTATCGGAAAGTCCCAATGACGTAATTTTCCTTACTCCCAGTCATTTCCTAATAGGAGATATATTAACGGCAGTTCCACAAATAGATGTGCAAGGAACAGCTCCAAATAGGTTAACTTTGTATAAAAGATTACAACAAATTGTACAACATTTTTGGAATCGATGGAGAAACAAATATCTCTCATCTCTTCAGCAAAGAAACAAGTGGAGACAAAATGAATCCAAAGACATACGTGTTGGAACAATGGTTCTACTAAAGGAAGATAATGTGCTGCCATTATATTGGCCTGTAGGAAGAATCATAAAATTACATCCAGGAAACGATGACACAGTGCGAGTTGTGAGCGTAAAAACTGGTAATAATATAGTGCAGTAGCAAAAATATGTGTTTTTCCAATAGAGACCAATTTATCCGTAAAGAACGTTTAACGATATCATATTGATATCATACAAGACATATTTTTTTCTTTGATGATTTATATATTTATGTTTGTGTTATGTATATTTTGAAAGTTCAGCTTTTCCAGGGCGGCGGTTTGTTAATTAATGTTTTTTTATCGAGGTTTGCATGTGTCAAAAAAAACATGGCAGCAATTGAAAAAATATTATGCATATAATCATTCATAAAATTATATTTTATAAAAATCATTGATGCAAATAGAAAAATACAGTCCAAACTCGTCTAAATCAGTAAGAGAAAATAAAGGCAATTAGCCTTAACACGCAGCTATATCCTTAATCAATGCTTTTTATTTTTCAAACGTCTCCTTATTGAGGGAGAAGCTTAATAGACGATTGACTAGAAAATTAAAACTCTCCGTTTTATGTTGAGCACAATGGTGAAAGTTCGTAGGGATATATCTTAGAGTACTGATCTTTTCTGTATATGTCAAATTCTAACTTATTTTCACTATTTTTAATTGTTTAATACATCTAAAAATGGTGATTGTCTAGAGTTTTCAATTCCACATATGAATTTAACTCACTCGAAACGACTCTAATTTAGAAACAAAGTTGTCAATATCAGCGACATTTGTATCAAACACTGCCAAATCTTCATGCACATACTTAAGCCAAACCCTGGGGAAATCCTCGAATTCTTCTTTTGCTTCTGTCTCGAATCTGTTCATGTTGTTCGTGGCTATAAATGGTGACAAAGAGTTACCCATTGCTGTTCGTTCATATTATTCAAGAAATTATCATTGAATCGAAAGAAATTTTGTTTCATGCAAAGTTTAGTGAGTTGAAGATATTCTTTTACTAAATCTTCACTGAGATTGTTTAATTCGAGTAGTTCCTTAAGGTAGTCCAAGGTCTGTGGTATCGGAACACTTGGAAACAATGAACAAACGTCAAAGGAGATCAAAATTTCACCTTGCAACTCAATATTTTCCACCTTATTAATGAAATCATTGGAATTAATCACAGTGAAACTAGGTGGTGCAGTAGGTAAATTTTCGAATTCCTCTGTTAACCATTTTGATAGGTCCTACACAAGGGGAGAGGCAATGGACACACACCCAATGTCGGAGTATGCTAAAATTAATTTCTAATTTAGAAAAAAACTGTAGCTCCATGACCGGGGATCGAACCCGGGACTCCAAGGTGAGAGGCAAGTGTCCTTGCCACTCTACCACGAGGCCACACAACCATAAAATAGATATTAGCAATTTAAGATTAATCAGGAGTGTAACAAATACTAGACAGCTGGATGCATTTGAAAGCATGGAAATTATAAAGTGTAAAAATAGCATGAATAGTGACAAAGGGCCACTCCCAAATAGCCCGCTTTATTGGTTAGTGGATCACGGTTCACCGAACCGAGACAATAGTTTAGGTATAAATAGGATACATTGGTAGCATAAGGTTAGTTTTAATCATCTCCAGATGATGCCAACTTGGTTGACGCGAAACGCGCGTCTAGTTCAGTATATGGTGTTTTAGTGTTTCGTGAAAAACTACGTTAGTGTTATGTTTATATGATGCATTTTTGAAATAATTGTTTATTTTCATCTAATTTATCTACTGTAAACGACCCTATCCTATAATTTTTGTTTCAAGAAATTGCAGTTTTCGAAACCATATTGTTAGTATCTCGAATGCGAAATGCTTTTGCGTTCTCGAACGATATAGTCGAAATTCTCATTCTAGGTACAAAAATAACTATTTTAAGAAATTATATGTCAAATATTACATTTTATTTGTTTTGTTTGTTTTTAGTTTTATGGAGAAACTGTCTGAATTACTTGTCTTATTAATTGAACAGCACTTGTGGCATCTTGAATTGGAGTCTAGATATTCTGCATTGGAATTCCTTTCTCCTCTCTATCAACTGACGATGCAGCTACCCACCGTTAAATGCTACTTACATTGTCTAGCTGTTTGGGCCACTTTTGTTAAACAAATGAAACCACGCAATGCACATAAGTAATAATTTTATATATTATTTTCTGATCAGTTGAATCTTGATTATTCAAGAACAATTTATTCAGTTTGCGAATTGTATGTGTAAATTTTTGTCAGTAATATTGTTCAGTTGCGTATTGGTGTGAGTTATCTTTGTTTTTTAATATATGTAGACCCTCCTGAATATTACTCTGAAATCAAGAATCAACTGTGATTATGTACTCTAATCAATTACAAAATTGTTTTGCCATAATAAATTCATGAAAATTTGGATACCTAAAAATATTCTATATGCAACATCAAGTATAAGAAAAAAATCAAATCATGTATATGTTGAATGTTATTTATTTATATTACAGACAAAAGTAAAAAAATTGGATCTCTTTTACACCATTGCATGATGATCTTGTAATTATCAAAGATAAAGACATTTAAATTTAGAAAAGGGTGCATAACTTTATTCTCAAGAAAAAGCACGCACACACAAGAAGTTCTGCAAAAAATTTTCTAAATTCTGATTTTTAAAGGGCCTACTTTAGAGTGGCACGGAAAAAAATTCTTTTTTCAAATTCTGTTGTCATAAGCGCCAAAATTTGCCTTATACAAATAAAAAGCTTTCTTGAAAGCTGATCAGCTCATTTTAATATCTTCAGGTTCTTCATTGGATTGAAAGTTCTTCAGATTTCATATTTCTTTAAATAAAAAAATTGAATTGTTATTGTTTGCACATGCACAGCCTTTGAAATGTTTATTTAAGTGAGTTAAAATAGTGGTCTATGACTAAGAATCCTCTAATAAAATAATGTAGTTGTCTGTAAATGATTCATGCGCTTGAGTTATTATAATGATAATAATAATAAAATTTATTAAAGAATAAATAATACAGTATATATTACAATATTGCGCATAACTATTTATAAGATAAAAAAATATTTTTATTTGGCACCTTAGCGAGTTAACACCTGTATGTGTCAGAAAAAAATGAATATCTAGAATATTGTAGGTGCTTTAAAGTATAAACATATTACTCATATCAGTTGCAACGAAATCAAAACTTAGGCCAGACAAAGATCATATACACTTATAGATGGTCAACTCCCATATAAAAGTTGCCCATAAATGGAAGCTCAAATGTAGAGGACGGGAAGCCAGAGGGACAGAGAGGTATTAGAGTGAGACGAAATAATTGATATGCCCCACTATATGATAATGTCCTTGCCAATACCTTTTTAACAGTACACGCAAGCAATCTGCCCATCTAGCATAGTTACTTCAACTGATAAGAACCTTATTTCGTTTCTAAAAACAAAATTAATACTGATCCTAGGACCTGACCAGTTGACCATAGGTTGCAGAGAGCTGGTTCTAGTGTGAACTTGCCTTGCGTTTGGACCAATGAGAAGCTGGGAAATACCTATCTAATAATTTATTCTTAAAACTGATAAATCAGTAAAATTGGATGTGCATTTTTATAGTAATTACTTATTTCTATATGTATACGACCCAAGAGCTACATGTTGGTTTAAAATATTCTTTCCATATTATGAAAATGGTAAACTACACCAGTTCTGGATTCGATCCAATTCAAGTTCTTTTGAATCCTTATAAGAATAAAAGAGATGGCAATATATGTAATTAATAAATAAGACATAAAATTATCACAGTGCTGTCGGTAATTGCTGTCACCAACTACTGGTTGAAGACAATAACTAGAATTACACTCTTTCACATTTGTCACTAGTTCCTCTAGTGGTTGAAGACAATGCCCAGTATCGTCATCTATTGGTTGAAGACAAATTGGGCGCTGCCAATTTGTATACCGGGTGTAACAGGATCATGATACACCCCCTTTTCTCTTTTAGTTTTTAAGATAATTGATTGAAATTTGGGATATCCTATATACATAATAAGCGGCACTTTTTGATATAAAAGTGATTTTCGCTGGAAGTGATACTAGCTTTGTGTGTAATGCTAGAAAAATCGATATCCCGTCAAAAATACTGAATTACGTGATTTATGAGCAAATAAAGTTCATCAAAATTTCATTCTTGACGAAGGAACGGAAATTAATGTTTTGGCTCGAGTAGAAGTTAATAAGAATCTTTCTTTACGACAAATTGGGTTTGAATTAGAAATCAGTCACTAAACAGTAAGCAGAATTTTGCACAAATGCTACGAACGTAGGATGGATTTTTTGCAGAATAACATGCAGCCAAACAATGATTTTTTGGGAATGATTTTATTTTCGGACGAATCTAGGTTTACAAATTTGGGATTATTTAACCGACAAAATACAAAATATTGGTCACAAGAAAATCAAAATTTATTATGGGAGGGTAACTTTTAAGTGCGGTTCTGTTTCAGTGTTTGGCTTGGAATAATCGGTAGTAGAATCATTGGTCCAATAATATTTGAAGGACCCCTAACTGGTGCCAGATACTTGAGATTTCTGCAAAATGAAATTGAGGACAGTTTAGCTGAATTACCTTTTCATTTACGACAGGGAATGTATTTCCAACAAGATGGCGCTCCTGCCCATAATTCAAGGATAGTAATTGATTACCTTCAACAGAGATTCTGAGAAAACGTATAGAATGGTCCTGTGATGCCTTTAATACCCCTTGATTTCTTTTGTTTGGGGTCATTTAAAAAATATTGTCTATGCAACCGCCGTTATAACCCGTGAAGACCTGGAGATACGAATAAGACGCACAATTACTAGCATAACGGCCCAGCAATTGGCGAACGTTCTTCGAGAAACGGCTATGCGAGTTCAGCGCATTGACGTTAATGGACAGCATTTTGAACAACTGCTGTAATATTTTGTGTTCATTTTTTGTATTCCAAAGCCACCTTATGTATAACAAGGTAATTAGAACAAAATTGTATTTTCTTATTTTCTTTTTAGTTGAATTTTGTTTATATTTATCTCACATTTTAATACGACATATGAATAAATTCCTTATTAATAGTACTAATAAATGGTACCATGGTACCAATATGGTTCCATTTGAAAAAATTGAGTTTTTCCCCATAAACCATTTTGATGAACTTTATTTGCTCATAAATCACGTAATTTAGTATTTAGAATAAATCGGAACCGTCATGGCACACAAATGGAAAATTAAAAATTATATTATAAAATATATTGCCTCTTGAAATGTTACTTATTTGGTATCGTTGGATTCAGAAAATTATGCAGATATTTTTATCGTATACTTGAGCTCTATGTATGGTTTTTTTTTTCATGCATAATACATGGTTTAGTTTTTCTCATTTTAATATACCGTTCTGTTTGTACAGGGTTTGATTTGTTTTCTGCACTAGTCTTAAATGAAAAATTTAGTATTATGGGTCTCTCTGAAACCTGGTTGGACAATCAAATTAGTGATAATAATTTATTAATTGATGGTTATACTTTAATTAGGAATGATCGTGAGGGGAGAGGTGGGAGAGTAGCTTTTTATATTAGCAAGTCAATCAGTTTTAAAATTCTGGATGTTCCTAATAACGGTTTAACTGAACAGCTTTGGATAAGTGTAAAAATTTAAGGTAAGACGCTTTGCCTGGGTACATTATACAGACCGCCTAATGTAAATCTTGTTCATTCTCTTGATGAACTGGAAAATACTTTAGTAAATTTTATACCTGACTTTGATTTAGTTTTATTTGGTGGTGATTTAAACGTTGATATGTTGAATGACGCCTGTTATAACCAAGTAACTTTCTCAATAGATATGGCCTACATCAACTTATCACGGAACCTACTCGTATTACCAATAATACACAAACTTTAATTGATCTTCTTGTCTGTTCTAGTCCTGATTTCTTTCTAAATTCTGAGGTACTAAATATGGATGATATCTCTGATCATTGCCTGGTAACTTGTAACCTAAATATCAGGAAATCTAAGCATTGACATACAAAACGCAACTTTTCAAATTTTGAAAATGATTTATTTATTCGTGATCTTCATATAATTAATTTTGATCAGTTATATACTTTAGAAAATGTTGATGAAATGGTGGAATTTTGGAATAATAATATTTTATATCTATTTGACATACATGCTCCTTATAAAACTGTTAGAATCACTAAAGCTCCAGCGCCTTGGTTAACTGATACTCTCAAAGCAATGATGAAGTTAAGAGATCGTGTTCACTTTAAATATAAGAAAACTAAAACTGAAGTTGATCGGGTTACTATAAAGAAATAAAAAATTTAGTTAACATGGCGG